GCCCCCTCCTGCCCCCTCCCCAGGGCCCGCGCAGGATGCCCCCGGCCCCCGGCAGCCCCCCGGGAGGCCCTGAGCTCGACGCGCCCCCTCTACGCCATGTCCCCCCCTGGCTCGGCCGTGGGAGAGAGCGCCGGCGGCGGCGGCGGCGGCGGCGGCCCCGGGGTCCCGGAGGAGCTCACGGCGGCGGCAGACGAGGGCCCCGCCCGAGAGGAGGTGAGAGCTAGAGGCGCCCCTTCCCCGGGCGCGGCCGCAGTCTGGCCCCCCCATCCCCCGCCTCGCGCGGCCCCCGCCGGTTCCACCGCAGCGCGGCCGGCGCCCCGCACTCCGAGCCGGCCGCCGCAGCCGCAGTCCCGCGCTGCTGCCCTAACGCAGCGGCCGGAGCTGTCCACGGTGGCGGGGAAGGGGCCGCGCCGGGGGCGGGGCTCGGGGGTCCCGGACAGGGGGAGGGGCCTAGGGGCGGAGCCTCGGGGACCCTGGGCGGATGGGGGTAGGGATGGTAAGAGGGATCGTATCTCGCGGAGGGGATGCTATCTTGAAGGCCAGACAGGGCGATTTGTAGGGGCTGCAGAGGCAGGAGAGTACCAGGGGCAAATGGTGGTGTTACCCGAGCTGGGGTCCTAAGAAGGTCAAATGTGTACAGAGGTGAGGCATCCCCGTCACTGGGAGTGTGTGTGTGTGTGTGGTTGCACCTCTCTCCCAATGTCCATGCAGTACCCCCAGGGGGCCCTGAGCCCAGGAATCCTTCAGAGTGTTGGTACTAAGCATATCCCTAGTTAGGAGGCCTTACTCTTCAGTCCTCTGAACCTTGAGACAAAGAGACTAAGGAAAGTACCAGGAACACCCGGATCTCCCATGCACACTCATGCACACTGCACTAGGGCAGAAACACACAGGCAGAGGGGCCTGCAGGTAGGGCCCCTTTCAGATGTGCTCTCATTGGGACAAGTGCACACCCAGGTAGTTACACAAATATACAACCCTCGCCCCCCCAAGGACAAGGCTCCCTGAAAGGCTCATGTGCCCCAACCTGGTTTGTTTACACTGTGTGTTATTTCCTAGCCCACCTATCTCTCTGCACTTCCAGATCTTTCCCTTGATTTCACACCAGGTCCAGGACCCAGTGCTTGTCACTGTGCTCTTCCTTTATACCCTTTTCTCCCTTCCCCTGGCAAGCCTCCAGGTCAGGCCCTGGGAATTGAAGGAATAAGTGGGGATCTCAGCAGGAGGGTGTGTTCAGGGTTCCTAAAGCTAGACAGCAGGGAGGAGTGGGAAGGCCCAGGCACCACCAGAAATCCCACTCGATACCCAACTGTTAAGTGGCTACTGGGTGCCAGCATCATGGCAGGCAGCCAGGGTGCAAAAAGGATGGTGCCCTGCCCTTAGTAGCACCCAGTCTAGTGGTAGAGCCAGACATGTAAACAAGTCACTGGGGTGACCATGGGACAGAACGCACCAAGTGCTTTAACAGGCCCCGGGAGAGCACCAAGAAATTTGTTTTCTTGACAAATGTCTGGGCTGCAAACCTCTTCTGTCCTCTCTCCCAGCCCCCATCCCACATCTCCTCTCTCCAGCCACATGCATCTGCCCTCCTAGGTATCTCCTCTGGGACTGCCTTCTGCTCAGGGACACCCGCCCCCTCCCTCCCATCTTAGAATAGGGGAAGGATGTTAGGGTGCAGGAGGCGACTCACAGGAGGCCTGGGATCCACAATGTGGGGAGACAGGGCCTGGAGTTTCCTGGGGGACCTCTCCAAAGGAGGTATGAGGCTAATTGTCTGTGAGGGACGCAGAAGTGTATGGGCCAAAGAGGGGTGGTTCCTCCAGCCCGTAGGGCTGAAAAGAATCTGGAATTTATTTATTAAATTAAGTGGGAAGCTGATGTCAGTGGAACACCTGGAAGGGGTCCGGGCTGGGGACCCGCCTTTGCTGATGCCTGTCTGTCCTCTCCTGTCTTCCCCATCCACCTTCTCCTGTTTCACTGCCATCTTTGTGTCTTTGGACTCTGTTTCTCTGTGTGCCATCCTATACATCTGTGTCTTCTTTGCCACCTGGGCCTCTTCCTCCACCTCTGGCTTGGATCCCTTTCTGCTTCTTGGGGTGTCTTTCTCGTTGCACTTCCCTGTACTGGCCTTCTGTTCCCTTTTCCTGTCCCCATGGCTTACTCTGGATCACTTCTGTGTTTATCTTTGATCTTTGGCACCCCTCTCTCCACATTCCTGTCTCTGTCATCTCTGGTGCTGGCCTCTGCCCCTCCATCCCTGCATCCATCTCTGTGCTGGGTCCTGCCACTCTGTCTCACTTCCCTCTCATCTCGGCCACTCTCCCTGCCCCTCTGAGCAGCAGCGTCCCATCCAGCCCTCTTTCACCAAGTCCCTCTGCCGTGAATCCCACTGGAAGTGCCTGCTGCTCTCCCTGCTCATGTACGGCTGCCTGGGGGCCGTGGCCTGGTGCCACGTCACCACAGTGACCCGCCTCACCTTCAGCAGCGCCTACCAGGGCAACAGCCTCATGTACCATGACAGCCCCTGCTCCAACGGCTATGTCTACATCCCCCTGGCCTTCCTACTCATGCTGTACGCCGTCTACCTGGTGGAGTGTTGGCACTGCCAAGCCCGCCATGAGCTGCAGCACCGTGTTGATGTGAGCAGTGTTCGGGAGCGTGTGGGCCGAATGCAGCAGGCCACGCCCTGCATCTGGTGGAAGGCCATCAGCTACCACTATGTCCGGCGCACCCGCCAGGTCACCCGATACCGCAATGGAGACGCCTACACCACCACCCAGGTGAGGGACTGAAGGGGAATACAGGGCAGTCCAGATGGGAAGGGAAGGGGGTGCTGGGATCCTGCCTGACTGTCCCCAGGGGGAGGAGCACAGGTACCAGTGAGCTCTCGTGGGCACTGCAACAGAAGGGCAGTAACAACAACCATAATAATAACAGCAAACACCAGGAGCCAGGCTCTACTCTTAAGTACTTTACAAAAATCATTTATTTAACCCTCATAACAACCCAACGAGGTAGGTAACTATAATCCCTGTTTTACAGATGAAGAAACTGAGGCTTGGAGAGGTTAAGTAACTTGCCCTAAGTCAAACAGCTAGTATGTCGGGGAGCTGGGATTTGAACCCAGTCAGTCTGGCTCCAGGGTTTACACGGTTTAGTGCTTAGTGGTCGGAGACGGCTTCACATGCACTGTCTCAGAGCATGCTCTCACCTGTTCAGTGAAGTGGCTGCTACCAAGTCCTGTTTCACAGGTAAGGAGACCTAAGCTCAGGGACTTACCAAACGTCTGCAGCTTCTACGTGGTAGTGCTAGATTCAAACCTAGGGCCCTGGATCCGAAGTCCAAGGCTACCAGAGGTGGGGGTCAGCTGGCAAAAAGGTGGAGGTAGGCCGGGGAAGCCCCAAGGACAGTGGTGGTGGGGGGAATGGTCAATCGGCGCTTGCCTGGTCCCTTCAGGATTAGACATGTTAGAGTCCTGGAGAAGAAGGAGGAGGAGATATTCCCAGATGAGCGTGCCATCCGTCTCAGTACTGGGATGGGTAAAGAGGCCCTAGCCTATGACAACCAGGAGGGTAGGCTGGGTGATAGCTAAGGTGGAAACGGAGACCAGAGACAAAGGCCTTCGACCTGGAGCTCCTCCCCAGGGCGTATGTGGAAACATATTTGTAAAAGGAAAGAGGGGGCAGACTGTTTGTGGTGATGAGGGGGCAGTGTGGGACAATGGAAGCAATGGCAAAAGGTCAGGCAAGTCAGCTGAGCAGTTCATGGCCAGGACTCTCAGAGGAAGCAGAATTCAATTAAAATTAGAGCCCACACAGGTAGGGGTGAGGTTGAGTCCTGCCCTTATCTCTAACTCACTGATTAAGCTAAGGGCCTCAGTTTCTCTATAAACCAGATGAGATGCTCCTACCCGCTCCAACCGATATCAAAACCAGGATGGGCTTAGGGTTTCACCAGGCAACAAGAGCAGCGGTGGGAGAGCGGGGTGAGCAGACAAAAGCGACTCCCACCGCCTTCCCCGGCACCGCAGGTCTACCATGAGCGTGTTAATACGCACGTGGCGGAGGCCGAATTCGACTACGCGCGTTGCGGGGTCCGCGACGTGTCCAAGGCCCTGGTGGGTCTGGAGGGCGCGCCAGCCACGCGGCTGCGCTTCACCAAGTGCTTCAGCTTTGCCAGTGTGGAGGCCGAGAACGCGTACCTGTGCCAGCGCGCGCGCTTCTTCGCCGAGAACGAGGGCCTGGACGACTACATGGAGGCGCGCGAGGGCATGCACCTCAAGAACGTGGACTTCCGCGAGTTCATGGTGGCCTTCCCGGACCCGGCCAGGCCTCCGTGGTACGCCTGCTCCTCGGCTTTCTGGGCCGCGGCGCTGCTGACGCTGTCGTGGCCATTGCGCGTGCTGGCCGAGTATCGCACGGCCTACGCACACTACCACGTGGAGAAGCTCTTCGGTCTGGAGGGCCCGGGCTCCGCCAGCAGTGCGGGCGGCCTGAGCCCCAGCGACGAGCTGCTGCCCCCGCTCACCCACCGCCTGCCGCGGGTCAACACGGTGGACAGCACGGAGCTCGAGTGGCACATCCGCTCTAACCAGCAGCTGGTGCCCAGCTACTCCGAGGCGGTGCTCATGGATTTGGCTGGGCTGGCAGCGCGCAGTGCCGGAGGCACGGCGGGCGGCTACGCGCCCACTTGCCGCTACGGCGGGGTGGGCGGCCCTGGCGCGGCGGGCGTGGCCCCGTACCGGCGCAGCTGCGAGCACTGCCAGCGTGCGGTCAGCAGCTCGTCCATCTTCTCACGCAGCGCCTTGAGTATCTGCGCCAGCCCGCGGGCCGGTCCGGGGCCCGGCGGAGGGCCAGGCTGCGGGGGCAGCCGCTTCTCGCTTGGTCGCCTCTACGGCTCGCGGCGCAGCTGCCTGTGGCGCAGCCGGAGCGGGAGCGTCAATGAGGCGAGCTGTCCCACGGAGCAGACGCGGCTGTCGAGCCAGGCCAGCATGGGGGACGATGAAGACGAAGACGAGGAGGAAGGCGGGCCGCCGCCGCCCTACCACGATGCCCTCTACTTCCCGGTCCTCATTGTGCACCGGCAGGAGGGGTGTCTGGGCCACAGCCACCGGCCGCTGCACCGCCACGGCTCCTGCGTGGAGACCTCACTGTGACCAAGGGCCCCCGACAGGCCCGCCGGCCTTCCTCCTGCCCCTCGCCGGACTGTGCTCCCTGCGTGTAGCAGAGAGTCGTGATGATGACTGAGGCTGTACTGAGGGGAGGGGAGGGTTCGCGGGACAGACCTCGATGGGGCTGGAGACCCCCGCCTGCCCTGTACATAGACAGATGAGCGGGAGGGGGTCGGCAGTTCCTGGAGAATCCCACCGGGGCAGAGTTCTCTCTTCCGGGCCTGCCCCTGAGTTCCTAAGGGGACACCTCCTCCTCCAACACGCACACTCGAGATTTTCCATCCAGCCTTTCAACAGATCTTCTGACTGTTATGTGGCAACTGTGATGTGGGACCCGTGTTAGGCCTCACCTCAAGAGAGAGGCCCTAGCTGTGCAGCCAGAGAGGATCAGAGGCTGTGGGGAAAGGAAATTGGGGCTTTCCTTCCTCCGCTGCCTGCCCCCCCCCCTCCGCCCCCGGGGGCCTTTCTCTACTGAGGGGGCGGTGGTTTGGTGAACAGCAGGGCTGGCTTCCAACCAGCTAATGAATTCAGTGGGTCTGAGGCCCGGGCCAGGTGTCAGCCCGGATACTCCATCTCAAAAACGTGGAAATGTTGCCATCCTCCTCTTGCCGCTGGCCCCAAAGATCGGGGTTTCCTTTCTACCACTCCCTCCACTGCTGTTTATTTCTCTGGGCCTCAGACCCTGGGTCCTGGAGGGACTGTGCTCACCACACAGACGTCAGTCTCCTCCCTCCGGTCCTGCTCCCCTGGCTCTGAAGAGCTGTTGCCAGTAGGGAGGAGACAGGTTGCCAACGGGGAGGAGACAGGAGTGTACCTCAGTCCTTCTCAGTCCACCGGGCACTAGTCTCCTGACCTGGATTCTGGGAGGGCGCTCCCTTCAGAGAGGGCGAGATAGCCACCCGGGAGGCATTCCTTAAAGCTGACCAAGGTGAAATGAGTGGGGAGAATGGGAGACAGACCTGGGTGGCAGTGGGGAACTCTGGAAGCAGATGGGAGTTGGGAGGAGAGAGCAGTGAAGGGTAGAGAGAAAGGGCCTCCAAAGGAAGGCCTGTCTGTGGAGGGCAGCCCTTGCCTTCCCCAGACTTTCTGGGGGGAGGAGTGGAGAGTGGTTGTCCCCACACATTGCCTTTGCAGGGCTGAGGACAATGTCACAAGCCCCGGATGGAGAAATACTCAATTCCAAGGGCAGAGTCAGAGGCAGGAATTCTCTAAATCTTGCCCGACCCCACTGTCCTTCTATACCATGAGCTGAAGAAGCCCTGCTGTGTGTCCCAGGGTCTTCAAAGAGGCAGCCTGCCACCGTGACCAGGGCCCTGGCCCCACATCCTGTTCCCTCAGAGCTCTGATGCCACCTTCTCTCCTCACCACTCCCACCCTGATGCGCTTCCGTGTGCATGTTCGTGTACAACCCCACTGCCCTCCTAACTCCCCCAGCTGAAGTTTTCCCAGCAAAATCAGTGCCCAGAGATAGAGCTCACATTTCAAGCTGGAGAGGATAGACCTTGGGCCGCCCGACATTGCTCATCCCTGATGCTTCTCACCTCACCTGAGCCATCAGAGCTTCCCTTCCTGCAGCCTCTCTCATCTTCCTCCAGCCTAGTCAGGCCTGCACCCACAATGGGCATGGCCTCCACCTATGCAACATCTCCTCTGGCCCCCCTGCTCTCCTTCCTGGGGGTGGGGGAGAGACTTGGGAGGCACAGATTATGGGGACACCATGGCCCATCGGAGTTGAGCTTTATTTTCCTGTGGAGGTGGCTGAGTGGGAAGGGAGGGGGGGGCTGAAGGTGGGGAGGCGTGGGCAGGAGGGAACAGCTGCCCTTTAGGTTTCCCTGGGCAGCAGTGCCCACCTGCTTGCCAACACTGAACCCTCCTAGACCCCGAGTCTGTGCTCCTCAGGAACCTGGTTGGTTGGAGCACGCCTCTTTGCTCTGGACAGACATCTGTGAGATATAGATGGTGAGCTGTGGCCTCAGGCCCCAGTTCTTGGCCAGCTGGCACCTGGATGTCTTGCCCTTGTGTGGGGGCAGGCTGGATACCTCCTGGCTCCAAGGAGGGAGGAACCCGGCTCCTCCTCCTTCAGGTCATTTCTGAGATAGATCCTGAGCTGGGAGAAGGGGAAAGGGGCCTTATTATTTTTGCCTGTATTAACCATTTCTGCCTAGGTGTTCTCACACAGACAGCCTCACCTCCCACCCCACACATGCACAGACTTAGAGAGAAACCAATTCTTTGGTCTGTTTCTTTGGTAGCTTTATTGATTGCCAGGGAAAAGGAAAACCAGAAAATTAATTAATCTCTAAAATTAAACTTTACACTGAATGTTCTTGTTTCTCTAATTAGAACCTCTGCTAGCAGCTGTGGCTATGTATACACACCCTCACACCTACACATTTGCACTCTGGAACTGTCAGAGGGTATCAGGCACAGACAGACTCTAGGTTGCCCGGACAGGCACCCACGTGCAGTCACTCCCAAGCCCCCTTCGGTGCTCTGCTCAGTGCTTGCTTGTTGGAAGGAGTCCCCAGAGAGCAGGCACCCCTAGGCTGTGGTTGCAGCCCATGACCAACCCTTTGGAAACACAGATATGGAGGTGCCGAGTCCCTCAGCCTGAGGAGGATGGGAAATGGGGCTTGGCCTGAATCTATCAGTCAGATCCTCTTGTGGCCCCATGGGTCGATGGGATTCCTGTGGGTGTGGCTCCAGGGTGGGCAGCCACACAGTGACTGGTGGAGGGTACCTGGAAGGCTCCTGGGGACAAGGGCTTGTGGGGTGGGCTGGGCCTGGCTGGGGAAAAGACAGGTCTCTGTCAATTGGGTGCATCACACTGTGGCCTTTCTGTCATGGATTTCCAAGCGCAAAGATTGTACAAATCAAACTGGATAATAAAGTTGTGGATGACTCACTGACTTCCCTTCCCAGTGTGGCGCTTCCCCCACCATCTCCTCCCATGAGAAGCTCTCTGGGGTCACCACTGTTTCCCCCTTCCCAGGTTGGGGGAGAAGATTAGGGGATGGCATGGCCTGTAGAACTGGGTCACTTAAGCAGAGTCAAGTAATAGGGAGGTGGCATCTGCAGGGGTGAGGGTGGACGATCCAGACAAAGCTCTGCTATAGCGTGTAGGGGGACAGTCAAGGAGATGGGCGACCCTGTGGGAGAGTCTGGGCAGGCACAGTCCCTCAGAGTCCTCTCTGCCTTTCCCTATACCTGGAAAAAGTCAGTTGTTTTTAGAGGGTCCCTCTCCCAGGGCAGGGGGCTGCGCCCCACTTCATACCTTTCTCCTCCTATCCTAGGCCCCGCCCCCTCCTCCTATCTTTATCCACACAACTCTTGATCACACCCTAAAGATTTTCATGGTTTTCCACTCCTCCATCCCTCTGGACACTGCAGCAGGCATGGTGGGGACATGAAACGAGGGATAGGGCTGGGGCAGTGACCCAGGTATGGTCACTGCCCCAGCCCTATCCCTCATCTTATCTGGAAGGGTTCTCAGGGCCCTTGGCAGTGAGTGGGGACATGAAGTGGCTGGCCTTCAAGGCCCTCTGGCGGGCTGCTTCACGGTTGGCACAGAGGGCCTGTCCAATGAGGTACTCGCTCTCCTGGGCTACATCGGACAGGCGCAAGTCAAACTCGAGGAGGGTCTTGTTGTCTGACATGCCTTCCAGGAGCTGCTTCCCACCATCCTGGGAGAGGAGTACAAGGGAAGGGATCATTTCACATTACTACCCAGGATCAGACATACACATATATTTATACAGAGAGGTGACTGGAACAAAAGTTCCACGGAACAGCACTTAACCTATTTGTGCAGCATGCTGGCATTTTCTATTCTATTCCGTCCTATCCTATCTCATTCTATCCTGTTCCATAAGAAAAATGGTGCTCAAGACTCACTAAATTGATTTTTCAACTGCAGTGATTTGAAAAACATGGCTCTATGGCAATGATGGTAATTGCATTCCTCCTGTTCAGCCATGGGCATTAGACAAACTTGGCTAATGAGATGTGAAGAAGAAGTTTGGAGGGAATGGCTTCTGGGAGGGTTTTCCTCATTCCGAAAAGAGAACAAAAGAGGGAGTGTTCTCCCTTTTTCTGCCCCTGAGCATGGCCCTATGTGAACTGCAACAGCCATCTTGGGATCACGTGAGGAGTAACTGAGCTGCAGTGGGCAGAGTAGAGGCTGGCACCGAGCCAAGGAATTTTCCAACCGTAGAAACCCCTATCTTGGGGCTTCTGATTATGGGACATGATGAATATTCCTCTTGTGTAAGCCATTTCCTGGCTCAGCCTTCTGTTACTTGTAGCCAAGAGTACTTCCCCTGGAGACAGGGTGTGTGTGAGCAAGCCTGTTCGTTGGGGAGGTTTAGTAGAAGGTGCAGGGCCCTAACTGAAGTGCATAGAGGACCCTCCTCACTACTCCTCACAGCTCCAGCCCCTTCTGGGTTGGGTAGGCCAGGACCAGTGAGAAAGAATTTCATGTTAGGAGGCAGAATGCTGCTGTTCCATCATTTGACCCAATAGTGTATTGCAGTCAATGTAATACAGAAGCATTTATAAAAAACATATAGTAGAGTATAAAGGAAAACATCAGCATACGTCACAGGCAGTAGAAATGAATTTCAATTATATTATACTGATGTATAGGCTCACTAGGTGTTCATGTAAATTGCATTTCTTACTCTGAAGACTTGATCAAGAAAATGTGAGAGACACTGTCTATGGGAAAGGACCCTGGCTTTCAGTCAGTCCTGGGTTTGAATCACAGCTCTGCCACTTTCTACTGACTGGATGCTCTTGGGAAACTCGCTACCATCTCTGAGACTTAATTTCCCATCTGTAAAGTAGGGTTAAGAATACACATTTTACTAGAAAACCTTGAGGATTAAAGGGAAACTAATGGGGCCAGCCGAGTGGCGCGTTGGTTAAGAGCTGGCTTGGGACGCCAGCTCTGAGCAGCAGGGCCCCAGTTTGGATCCCACAAGGGGGCCAGTGACACTGCCCTCTATAGATAAGATGGTGAACAACAGCTCGACCTGGAGCTGGGCTGTCGTGAGTCGCCAGCGACAGCGTAGGCTGCAGCCCCTGCTGTAGTGGGCTGCCATAAGCTACCGTTTGTGGCCAGCAGCCAGCATGAGTGGCCAGCAGCCGGTGTGAGCTGCCAAGAGCTGCTGTGAGCGGCCATCCAGAGGCCAGCGACCGATCTGCCTCACCCGGGAAGAGCGCAATGATAATACTAACATGGGCCAGAGAAGCAGCATCCTTCACAACTAGACTAAAGAACAAAAGGACAGCAACTTGTCTGTTCCCCTTCCCCGATTCCCCAGTGCTGTTCCTCTCCCTCACCCAATAAAATCTTTAAAAAAAAATAAATAAAAAATAAAGGGAAACTAATGGATGTTAGGTGCCTAGCATAGCGTATAACCCGGAGTAATTGGCCTAGCCAGTGCCTGCAATGGTTAATTGTTTTACCAATATAACTCATTTAATCCTTCTAGTAACAACACTTAGAAGTAGATACTATTATGATCCCCACTTTACAGAGGAGAAAATGGAGGCCCCAAAATGTTAAGGAACTTAACCAAGTGCTAAGTGGCAGAGCCAGTGTTTCAACCAGGTAAATCAAGTCTGTGATCTTAACAATCACCCTGTAGGTACCCCCTGATGGTTGGCTTCCATCCCCACCCTCAAGGCCCCAGAAGCTGCGGCTCACCAGTCCTATGTGGTTGCAGGACAGGTTGATGCTGGTGAGCGTGGTGTTGATGGACAGCACCAGGGAAAGGAGTGTGGCCGTGGGCTCTGAAAGCTCATTGCCGCCAAGGTGCAGCGTGGTGAGGCACTTATTGGTCTGCAAGGCGTGGGCCAGTGCCTGGCCGCCCTCGTCCTCAATGCAGTTGAGGCGCAGGTTGAGGGAAAGGAGGCTGGTGTTGTGTGCCAGGGCATGAGCCAGTGACTGGGCACCAGGCGCACGAACTTGGTTGTTGGCCAGGTTGAGCACACGCAGGCGGCTGTGGCTCAGCAGCTTGGCAGCAGCGCGCACGCCACGGTCCCCAATGAGGTTGTGGGACAGGTCCAGCTCCTCGAGGGCCGGGTGGTCCAGGAGGCTGTGGATTAGGATGCGTGCCTTGTCGTCGTCCACCTTGCTTCGAGTCAGCCTAAAGATCTGTGGGCAGATAAGGGGTCTACAGCAGCTGGCAGTCAGGGATAGCCTGCCTGCCTACCTACCTTCTGAGGGTAGAGGAGGGAGCCACAGGGAGGCCTGAGCTTTTGCTCACTCTGTGTTGGTCACCTGGTTGGCTCTTGGGTGGGGGTTGCTGGGGGCAGGCCTACCTAGCAGGGCAGAGGAGTGCAGAATTGGTGGCAGGTAGTAGAAGGGAAAGGCTACCATTTCTTGAGAAATTACTATGTGCTGGGCATGCTGCTAGAACATTTCAGAACCATTGTCTCTCACCCTCAGCATCCCAGTGAGGTAGAACAAGTTCTCTCTATTTCACAGATAGAAAATAGAGGCTTAGGGTAGGCACCTCATTTACCCAGAGTCACATTGTGATTAAGCTATTGGGGGCAGGTTTCGAAACCAGGTCTGCAGCCCCCCCCTGCATCCTCCTCAGCTAGCTAAGATCCACCATGGCAAAGAGAGGAACTTTGTGAAGGAGATTGCCAGGATAAGAACGAGAGGAAAAGTGGGAAGGGTAAGAACCAGGAAATGGATGGGATGGGGGGAAAAAATAAAAGAAAGGGGGTAGGGCTAACATTGTAAATATTGGAGGTGGGCGTCCCTTTCCCTTTCCTTCTCACTGGCTTGTTCCACTCCCCGCTCTTCCTTGAGACCTGGGAGTGGCTGGCCTCCCCACTGTCTCCCTATCCTGCAGTCCTCTCCTTTCTTTACATTCTTCTTAGCCCTTCTTGTCTTTTCATTGCATCTATCTGGCAAAGCTCCAATCCTAGATCCAGCCCTCTCTCTATTTTCTGCAAGTCTGTGCCCAGGCAACTGACATGATGAAAAACATCACATGACAGGACTGATTGGTTTCACCGGCACCACCAATAGGCCCTCAATGCTGTGTGCCAATTCAACTCTGTTTCTCTGGTCGACATACTTTCTCTTAATCTACAACAACCATTTCAACCTTCTCCAGCCTCCTCAAAATTCAGGGGCCACCCTACAGCCTCCTTTCAGCAAGTAAATCTCCCCCCGCCTCCCCAGCCATTGAATGGGAACCCCTTATTTTCCTAATACTAAACACAAATGCATTGCTACCCATCCACATCCACTCTCCCCTCTGCCCAGAGCCAACTGCCCTACTTCAGTCCTGGATCCCACCTCTCCTGCCTTCTCAGGAACCTTCCTTGGTCAATGAATCTGTGCCTCTGTCCTGTACTCAACCCCTTTCTTGCAATTGGATGAAACTTTGCATTGGTTTTAAACACATGGAAGTTTCTTCTTAAGAAAATCCAAACCCCTCATCTATTTACTACTCTACCTTCCGCCCCCTTCACAGCCAAGTTCTTGAAAAAGTTCATCACAGTCATCCCGTTTCCTCACTTCCCTCTCTCTACATAAACCACTCCAACCTGGCCTCTGCTCCTGGCACTCCACTGACATAGAGCTCCCTCAATGACTTCCATGTTTGCTAAATCTAGGCCCAAGCTCCACCCCCATCCCACCCCATTGCTGCTTACCCCCTCTTCTTGAAACACAGCCCTCCCTTGGTTTGGTGACACAATGCCTTGTCGCTTATCTTCTCTGATTTCCTGGTTGGCTCTCCCTCATCCAACTAGAATATTTGGGACATACTTATACTGAAAAATTATTTGATGTATATCTGGAATTCAAATTTAATTGGACATCCTGTTTCTTTTTTCTTTTTTTTTTAATTTGCTAAATCTGGCATCCCAACCCTAGTTGCAATTTTACATTTATGTGATTGCTGATTAGTGCCTTTTATTGCACTAGACTGTTAGCTCCACACGGCACAAATGGTATAATTTTGCTCAATGCTGACTCTTCAGCACCTAGGACAGGGCCCAGAGCACAGATGTTTGTTGGATGAATAAATGGCTGGTGAACTGGGGGAGGGCAGTGCCTTGTTCATTTCTGCATCCCCAGAGCCCAGCTGGGTGCAGGGTGCATAAAATGACACTTGGCCAATGAATATGGAAATGGAAGGAGGAAGATGACTATAGCGGAGCGGGCAGGGAATCTGAGAGACACTGAGAATGGGAAATGGGGGAAGGCTGGGGGTGGATGATGGTACCTTGAGAGTGTGGCATTCCTTGATGGTAGCCGCCAGGGAGTGGCAGTCGCGGTAAGTGAAGAGGAACAGGTTCCACTCGAAATTCATGCCACAGTCCTTGACACTGTACACCAGGTCCAGCTCCTCCAACTGGCTCAGGCCAGCCACCAGGTCATTCAGTTGGTAGTGGTCCATGGTGGGCTCCTCCATCTCTCCCTCGCTGCCGGAGTCGGACTGGTCCCCACTCCGCGGCCGGGGTGGTAGATGCACGGGCGGAAGGAACTGATCCACACGGATCCTGCGCACGTAGTTCTTGCACAGAGGCAGCAGGTCGAGGATCATCGCGGGGTCCGTGGTGCCTGGGATGAAGTGCTTTAGCAGGTTCTCCAGGTGCCGCTCGAAGAACATGCACTTCCAGCTGCCTCCATGACTGTCCACGTGGCACACAGGCCAGCGATGCATGCAGCAGCGGTGCCAGTAGCTCTCATCATCGATCAGGTTGGCGGTCACAGCCAGTGGCAGGTCAGGAGATAGGTAGTTCAGGACCTTCTGCTGGTGCTGTGGGAGCAGCTGCTTCAGGATAGGGTTGTCTTTGGGAACAGAGGAAGGCAAGCAAGAGTCACTGCTTGGGGACAGCACAGCATGGTGCCCTGGGCTGGGCCTGCCTGGGGGCACCAAGGAAAGGGAATACCCTCCCCTACCCTCAGGGAGCCCCAGTGTGAAAGAGAAGACAGACTTTACTCTCAGGGGGGCTCAGTCTGAGGGGGAGACACAGCCCCAGGCTTTGGGGTATTCCATGGCTGAAGGCTGCTATCTTAGCATCTGGTTCCAGGGAGTTCCCAGGCTGAGGAAGAATCTCAGGTCCAGCCCTCAGTCATCACTTAGTCTGATGGTGGAGACAATCCCTGACTTCAGAGGTTCCCAACTTGATTTGATTCATTCATTTCAAAACAAACAAACAAAAAGTTGAGCGCTTGTTATGTGCCAGACACTGTTCTAAGTGCTGAGCATACAAGAGTGAACAAAACAGAGGAAGCCGCTCCCTCTTCTGAGGGGAGGCAGACCATAAACAAGTCAAACAAATATATTGTAGGTCAGGCGGTGATAGGTGCTGTAGACAAAATGATAGCCCTGTCCTCAGAGAGCCCCCGATCCAGTAGAAGAGGCTGGCGACTCATCTCTGAAAGGCTTGAACATATACAGAGTGCAGAACAAACCAAGAACCTATACATGCCATGGAAGACTCCAAGGGAGTGGAGGTTGATCAACCAGGGAGGGCTTTCTGGAGGAGGAGGTAGATAGCGTTTGGGCTGGGTTTTGCTGGAGAGAGTGGGAAAGGTGAGGAGAGGGCATAGGCATGGAGGGCACAGTGTGGGTGTGAGTCTGGTGGGGACTGAAAGTAGGGATAGCAGAAGAAATTGTCCTGGCCGCAGGGGTAAAGAGAAGTGTTGAGTGGAGATGAGGATGCTGTGTGAGGGCAGGGGCTGCCCCAGGGCCCAGCCTCCAAGGCCTCTCCTCCAGGCAGCCCCCACCCACCCTGCCCCACTCCTGGCCTTCTCCCTCCTGACCCAGGCAGGGACCGACTCACTCTGGAAGTTCTTGACAATGTTCTGAATACAGAGCTCTGTGAGCAGGGGCACGATGGCCAGTGACCACTCAGCATCCTCGGCGATAATCCTGCGCATCCGACGTACGCCAGCCCCAGAATTTGGGCCCCTGGACTTCACAGGGGGTGGGACCGAGGCCTTTGAGAGCTGTGGACCTAAGCTCAAAACTTGACCTGTAGTGGAGGACGGGTCCTGGGTGGAGATTAAGGACTGGCTGGGAGCTGAAGGTGTCGGTGTTGTTGGGGATTCCTGCATACTGGTGACCAGCAGGTGGGAACCTGGAGCCAGAGGTGGGGGTAGAAGGATTACTTTGGAGGGTCTCAGTGGGCATTTACCAACAGAGGTGGCACAGAGGGGTTCTTAAGGGTCAGCCCCTGGAGTAGAGCAGATCCAGGTGCAAATTACACTGATTAGCTTTGCGGCCTTGGGCAAGTTACTGTATCTCTCTGAGTTTCAGCTGCCTCCTCTGTGAAATGAGGATAACAGTTACCGATAAGATGATTGGGAGGAGTGAATGCACCCAAAGAGGCATAGTATACTTCCACACATGAAACTGTAGCAAGGAACAGCCCCAAGTTTTATATAACTACATAGTAATTACAAGCAATTGCTGTATGATGGGCGCTTCTTTTAGTATGCATATTAACTCATTTCATCCTCACAAAAGCCTTTTTTTTTAAA